AAGCATGTTGCACATTGATTTATTAAAAAGAAGAAAAAAAATGATTATCAGGAGTTTGAGAGGGATCAAGGTCTTTTGAGAAGCGTAGGCGAGATTCTGTTGTGTTGTTTTCTAGCTCAAAGTTGCCCATAATCATTTCACATCAACACAAAGTAAGAAAAAAATTATCACAAAGCAAGGATTAATTCCTAGAATCCCTTGAGTGAATATGCATGACATCATTCAAGGCCCAGCCATTGGGAACCCAAATTCCTGAACCTTACTCCCAGTGTCCCTCGACTGAAAGTGAATGGCAACAGACGGGCAACAGTGGAGATGAAATGCCCATTACAGACAGTTTTCCAATGCAGCCTGGGCATTTTACTTAAAGGGACACTATAGTCACCTGAACAACTTTAGCTTAAAGAAGCCGTTTTGGTGTATAGAACATGCCCCTGCAGCCTCACTGTTCAATCCTCTGCCATTTAGGAGTTAAATCCCTTTGTTTATGAACCCTAGTCACACCTCCCTGCATGTGACTTGCACAGCCTTCCATAAACACTTCCTGTAAAGAGAGCCCTATTTAGGCTTTCTTTATTGCAAGTTCTGTTTAATTAAGATTTTCTTATCCCCTGCTATGTTAATAGCTTGCTAGACCCTGCAAGAGCCTCCTGTATGTGATTAAAGTTCAATTTAGAGATTGAGATACAATTATTTAAGGTAAATTACATCTGTTTGAAAGTGAAACCAGTTTTTTTTTTTCATGCAGGCTCTGTCAATCATAGCCAGGGGAGGTGTGGCTAGGGCTGCATAAACAGAAACAAAGTGATTTAACTCCTAAATGACAGTGAATTGAGCAGTGAAATTGCAGGGGAATGATCTATACACTAAAACTGCTTTATTTAGCTAAAGTAATGTAGGTGACTATAGTGTTCCTTTAACTTAAGACTGATCTTTACTAGGGTTCGGAGGCCCTGGGAGACACAGCCCCCCCCCCCCTTTTTTTTTCTTAATAAAATACAGATTTCAATTTAATAGATTATAATCTGGGACAGTAAAGGCCTTGTGTTAGGGTTGCTAAAGATCTCTCTGCTTATTAAGAGAATCTAGAATACATAATAGAATGCGTCACTTGGTGACTAAAGGGATAGCTCTGCCAACATTCTCAGTTCTAACTGTGAAGTATAGAGTTTGCTGCTCGTTTGAAGATTATATCAGAACAAAGCGATGGGGGACTCACTGGCATGCTCTCACCTTCTGAACATCTGCTGCAAATGCCTCACATAGGAATGGGATGTCTGGCAAAAATTAACCCTTTATAATAATAGGAACTAGGTTATAGCAATTGTCCAGCTGTGGTAAACTAATGGGGATAAGACCCCTTCACTTGTCAGGACCTAAAGTTATCCCTTGCTGTGCCACCTGTGCTCATGCACAGTTTCCGTGTGTGAAATACGAGCAGCTGTAAGCAAATAAGACTACCTAACAACTCGAGATATTGATGTCATGAAATCGGCAAGCTGCCCCCACATCTGTAGAGTTCACAGGTATGAGCATTTGTGGGCACAGTCTGTAATGCTCTGGCAGGGGATGCCAATGGCACAGAACCAACCATGCTTCTTTCTTTGTTATAGATCCTCCTAATCATTCTATGTACATACATATCTTTCCCGTCTTTCTTATTCAAATGTCTCTCGTGTACTGTTCTTCCAGGCCCTTCACAGGTCCACAAATTCACCCTCAGGGGCTCCTGGAGGTTCATTACCCATAGTAGATAAAAGTTAGGGGCTGTAGGCAATATTTATAAGTTTGATGTTGTGGCCATTACATAGTTCCCTGAACAACTTCCTAACCCCAAAGAAATAAGGTTATCTTTAACATAAATTACAGATGTTTTTAAAGCCACTGGATAATCTATCATGCAAAAAGCCAAGAACACTCAAAATAAAATTCTTACTTTTAAGAAGAATTCTCATGAATATTTTTGAGCCAGTGTGGGATGTAGGAGGATTGAAGCTTTGATCCCCATCAAAGTCAGTTCAGCTCTTTCATCCTTGTAAAATGAGCCCCATTGAGTTGGGTAACAGTAGTATTTAAACCCAAAGACATATTTAAAGACTAGGAGAAGCTAAACGAACCCTTTTCTGGTCAAATAAGTTCATTTTAGTTTTATCTCTTTTGGTTTCTATAATGTTTTCAGATAAAACAGTGAACAATTAAAATCAAATTGCTTAATAAACCCTTCTTGACTTGAGATTTTACTCACTAACGCCAAACTGCAGTGAATTGGAAGCCATGGAACCAAAATGCTACATTTAGGCAAATTAGCCAAGCTATGACTATCATTGAGTTGGAGAATTTTGCCGAATCACCTGTTTTTGTCTACATTGTTCAATCTGAATTTAAGCAATAACGTTTTCTGTTTGGTTTTTTTTGTTATTTTTTTAGTGAACAAGAACAATTGAGACGTATGTACTAAGTGCATCTCAAAGAGTAGTATCAATTTTTGCAGTTAGAGCATGCATATAGACATTCTATTTGTTTCTAAACGACAGACAGAGCTTTCCTTTAGTCCCATAATTCTAGATATAATCCATACATTATTTTACTGGTCCTTTTTTTGATAATTTCGATAATAACGACTAACCGTTTATATATTTGGCCAATTTGGTTTACTGCGTCTGTAACTTCTAAAGTGGTGAAGAAAACCCACAAAAAGGATATTTCTTTAAAAACACTGATAACTCTGGTATTTTATTAAAGGCATATAGCGATTCTTCTAAAAGTTTTTTTTTTTTCCCAAATCAGCAAACATGATGGTGAGGTGCAGCGTTAAATTTGGGCCGTGCTCACTTCATTTTTTTACATTTAGGATTTTGTTACATTCCTTTGATGATCCCATGTCTTCATTTGAATAGATTAGCACTCAGCCACGTCAAGCAGGTTCACCCATTGATATTTGAAATTACTACTTTTTGACCAATTAACCACCAAACTCTTCTTAAAGATTTATGACAATTTTTTTCACATTACTATTAAATTTAACAAGATTATTCACTAAAGTGAGATTTCAAAGTGCGTTTTAATTTTCAGATCAAAATATCCAAACTGGAGAAATTCTTTAAGTCCGCTATGCTTTCATGTCAGCTATTCTGGCCTTAACTTTGAAATTCACTTTAAACTCTCAACTTAAATATTACTGGGTTTGTGCTAATGTAGATGGGAACTGTGCGGCTATAATGCATAGGTTTTGTTTCACACTTTTAGGGGCGCGCAAACTTCCATTTTCAATCTTTGAATTCTGAGTAACTGCTTTCCGGGGCTCATGCCTTATACGGACTATTTTAGGAGTTTGCCATATTAAATATCAGAAAATTTAATGTACTTTAAAAAAAAAAAAAAAACACTCCTTAGTATCTAGCACAGAGGTAGGCAATCTTTGGCACTCCAAATGTTGTGGACTACATTTCCCATAATGCTCTTACAATCATAATATTGGAAAGGATCGGGGAAGATATAGTCCACAATATATGGGGTACTGAAGGCTGCCTCCCTCTGGTTTAGTTATCACTAATTTTAATGTAAACATTTTATGAGTTATAAATGTTGCTGTAAACAAACATACTTACACCCCTCACCTTCTATCTTTCATTATTGTACACCTTACCCACTTTCTCATTAAATACTACCCACCAAAACTACCTAAACTACCCAGACACCCTAATATTATTTAAAAAATAAATAAAGAATAAGAGTAAAAAAATCAAGATACTGCTCCATGTGACTCTGATGGTCACTGTAATACAATCAACAAGAGATTAAAATACATTTTAAACGCTCTTTCTCATGGGGTCTGAATCATCAAGGATTCCAAGCGAATTTTACATTTTAGCCCAAATTTGTTGAACTGAAAACCACTTAATTGGAGAATTTTTCCAATTCCACTCTATTAGCCTAAAATATTATTTTTTTAAAATTTACTTTAAATTTCAGACAACTCACAGTATAGTGAATAAGAAAAAGTGTTTTTTTTTTGTTTTGTTTTTGGCCATCTTTCCCTTGGTGTGTGTATACCTAATTAATGAACATATCCTGCTAGAGATGGTACCAGACACATATATCTATATATACTTTTCATGGATCTGTGTTAACAGCAAGACATATGTTACCAGAATCTGATGTGATTATATGTGTACGTGATATTTGGAAATGGACACTGGTTTAACCCAACCGAGTGCCTGGAGGGGAAAATCGGGGAGAGTTAATTGGCGGTGAGTAGCTAATGAGTTACATAATATGGAGAGAAGCAATTACTGGAGGATGAGAGGAGACAGGGGAAAAATGACTAGAGAAGGAGGAATAGATCTATATGTTAATGAACCTTCCCTGACTTTGAAGGAGAAATTCAGCATTGGTCGTCACCGTGAGAAGACAGAAAGCCCGGTTCTAAATGAACATGGGTGTATAATAGCGAGAAAGACAAGAAAGGGAGGAAAAACTGAATCAGAAAAGTGTACAATGTATAGGTAACAGCGAGAGATCTGTATGATGGAAGATAGACAGGCATCGTTAGGCATTGATCATACATGGAGGCTTTAAAGGTCTTCAGTGTTTGCTAAGAAAAGCCCCAGCTGGGCATAACTCTGTATCCCTCATTCATACCAAGAACAAATTAGATTTCTGCATGAACAGATATGTGTATGGTGACTCAGCTGCGGTTTAGTTAAATGTGAGGTCATCGTGCTGCGCCAATTTTACAATACAAGACTAGACCTCTATTATTATTACTATTATACTATCACTGGACAGATTTCGATACATTAACTAAACAGCCACTCGGACAAGGCGAGAACCGATTTACAACATTTAGACTAAAAATTGCTTTTGGGGGTGAATTTTTTAATTTTTTGCATAACAGGAACAATTTTTACATCTGCTACATAGGCTGGAGTTTTGCAAATCGGTTCTCAACCAAGCAAATGCTACTTTTTAGAGAATATACCCCATTATTTTAATTCTTTGTTTCCATGCGAAAAATGTGAATTTGTTCAGTTAGCCTCCCACTGTGAGTGAGAAGAATTCCAAGGCCCAGACCTTTTCAAATAACATCACAAATAGCCCATTCAGGAAGTTGTACTTGTGACATTGTTACCCCAGTGATTCATTCATTACCCAGTTGCCAGGCTATTTTTACACCAGCAAACCTTTCGCTTGAATGTCAGAAGTCCTACTTAGTTCTTACCGCCTATCAACAATAGCAGACTCATATAAATGTATATATATGTATGTATATGTATTTATTTTTTTTGTCCGTTCTGCTCATAATAGATGGTTTTATCTTCTGGAAATTAACCTGTTATATGCCACAAGTCTGAGACTATACTTTTCTTTTGTCTTGCTATAAAGCCTGCCTTCTCCCTCACTAACAAAATTTTGGTCCCTTAAAAGCAAATACAAACTATGAAGAAAAAAAATAAATTAATGTGTACTCATCTACTGCTGGACGGCCAACTTCTGATGCTGGTTGCCTGTGCATGTTGGCATTTGTAGTCCGTATCTTTTGGAGAGATAAGAGGCTGCCTAGTCCTGTACTCATTGATCATGTTATTGCTACTGTTGCTTTGCTGCTAGTCCCTCTGGGATTGCTGATACACAAGATATAAAAGAGACAGTTAACTAAAGACAAGATTTGACACATAACGATTTATGGAAACAGGGATATCAACCCACACACGATTAGCTGTCCCCAGAATATGTATTGTTTGTGCATACAAAGGACAGACATTACATGACAATCACAATGTCCTCAGGTTAGCCAAAACCATTTTTTTTATATGGATCCTTCAGAATACTGTCCACTTCCCCTTCTCCAATCCACCATGAAGGTTACATACTGGGGGTACCACATACTCAGTCCAAACACCCCTTAGATAAGAGGAATTAAGGCCACTTCTGAGAAAGCTGGAGATTACAGAGGGGGTGAGCTGAGCCAAAAGAGTGTTGGTCCACCTAGTGTGTGTGTTTACAGGAAGGACAGACAGACAGCTACCCAAATTCAAGGGCAATAAGGCACTCCCGATTTGTAGTCTATAGTAGTCCCATCCGCCATGTCCCCTGAAAGAGATGCATTCACTTCCAACCACAGAGATCGCTTTGAGGTTTTTTGTTTTCTTAATCACGAGTTTGGAGCCTTAACTAAGGCAAGAACATTCTAAATGACATTCTGAAGAGTTGAAGAATTTTGTAGGTAATGTCCCCCTCGATTATTCAGAGAGAGGGACTGTTTTCTAAATTTTGTTATTCTAATTTATTCTGAGAATGATGGTAGGTACAATCATATGCAAATCCGATGGACATGAATGCACCTCTTTGAGGGCAGAGTGGTTGATTCTACTCAGACATGGTAAAATGTCCCCACCGCGATGCTAAATGGCCAGGTCCCATATTGCCGCTTTGGCCGGAGCACACACACATTGTACAGTTTGCCCCGTGCTGATGAGTCTAGCAGTCTATCCCGGTGTTCTCTAAAGGTGATCACAGACCCCCTTGCTCCTCTGCTTCTGCCTCCTCTCTTCTCCTCTTCTGTCGCTCCCGCCGAGACCTCCAGCAAAGAAATGCAGCTACCAGCATTGCTGCCCCAGCAGCCAGAGCTGCCACGGACACTGCCTTAGCGATATCCATGTGTGGACCTCGGAATTTGAAGGTGATGCACGTTGCGGCGATGCCTATCACCAGGGCCACGGCTCCGAAGGGGAATACGCAGCGGTGCCAGGACTTCTCTGCACCACCGGTGGCCAGAGCCAGCTTGTTCAGTGTGGCAGTGGAGTCTGCGGCTGCCTCACTATACGGTGGTGGCGGCGGTGGCGGCGGGCCCGGCTTGGCAGCCTGCAGGCAGGATAAAGAGTTAGACTTGCAGACAGTCATGGTTTTGGTGGTTGGGAAGAAAACGCTTTCCTCCCCTGCCGTTTCTGCTTCAGAGTGCAGAAGACTGCTAGGCTCCTCTTCTATGGAGTTCGGAAGAAGCAGCTGCCCCTCTATTGTGATGGCTCCAAAGGGGAGAGTCTTTGACTATGTATCCCTCAATATCGCTGGCTGGCAGACTCAACCTTTTTCCCTTTGTATCCAGTTCTTCTCTATCCTGCTCTCCTCTTCTCATCTATCTTTCTCTGGCACAATCACCAGAGCTAGGAGACCACTGGATTCTTCCCTCCGTAGCAACGTTTCACCCCGATAGTCTCCTTATCTCTCCGGTTCTCACTGCTTTCTCTTGCAGATCCCTCTCTCTGTCTCAGCTGCTCTGTTTTTTTTCTACGATTTCAGCTCCCTGCTCTTTCTACAGTCTCAGAGCTTATTGGTAGGAGTGCTGGAGGGTGGGAAATACTCTCCCATTAACACTTCCTTGCCCACCCTGACACATGTCACTTAAAGAAGGAATAAAATCTAGATTTCATGTGAAATTCAGAATCAATCTATTATTATTATTATTATTATTGATAGTATTATTTTTGGCATTTATATAGTGACAACTTACTCCGCAGCGCTTTCTAATAATCTGAAAGGGATAAATATAACAATAAATGAGACAATTACAAAATGATACAGGAACAATACGAGGACTCTATCTATCTATCTATCTATCTATCTATATCTATATCTATCTATCTATCTATTTATATCTACGACTCTCTCTCACTCTCTATTTATATCTATCTATCACTATCTATCTGTCTATCTCTCGCTCTTTCTGTCTCTAGTGCTCTCTCTATCTATCACTCTATTTATCTATTTCTCGCTCTCTATCTATCTATCGCTTTATCACTATCTATCTATCACTCTAACTATCTCACGCTCTCTATCGCTCTATCACTCTCTCCCTATCACTCTCTCCCTATCTCTCTCTCTCTCTCTCTATCTATCTATCTATCTATCTATCACTCTATTTAACTATCTCATGCTCTCAATCGCTCTATCACTCTCTCCCTCTATCTATCTAGCTATCTATCTCCTGTCTCTGCCTGTCTGTCCATCTATCTACCTATCTCTCATTTACTTTTACCTGTTTGCAATTATTTTGTTGCAATTGTGTTTATAGTCCCAATGTACAGCACTGAAAATGTTGGTGTTATATGAATAACACATAGTCCACATACACACAATCACCGCATACAACATTCACAATAATTAATAACAATTACATAGATATATTTCACTATCACTGTCCTCTATTTTCTAATAAATAAATCCAAACTTATTTACAATCCCTGTCGCCTGTCATAGTTTAGAATAAAACGTTGACAGTATTTCTTTTTGGAGAAGATATTAGTAGATAAATATATATATATATATATTAGTATGTAACATGCTAAGTATTAGTTTCTGTGGTCCTTAGGAGTCCGCATTATACAACACTCTGGGAGTTTATAGTCCCAATGTACAGCACTGAAAATGTTGGTGTTATATGAATAACACATAGTCAACATACACACAATCACTGCATACAACATTCACAATAATTAATAACAGTTACACAGATATATTTCACTATCACTGTCCTCTAGTTTGTCACTGACCATGTTTTGAATTTCTGGCGCTATTTCAATATTTTCTGGGGGGTAAGTAAATGTGTAGCAATTTTCTGGTGCAGTCTGCATGTACAATTGCTGCCCACTTTGTAGATTTGCAGTTAGTGATGTTAGAGAGAATTTGTGGCTGTGACACTATGTGTCATTGTGTTCCTTTGCCTAAAACACAATCTGCTTTTAGTTTTGTTAGTGTGATTAGTAAGTTTCATTCATGTTTTTGTTTGTTGCTTTTGTGCAGGGTTCGCCAAACTCTGACCCTCCAGATGTTGCTGAACTACAATCCCCATGATTCTTTGAATTAAATAAACAGCCAGAGAATCATGGGAGTTGTAGTTCAGCAGCATCTGGAGGACCAGTTTGGAGAACCCTGCACTAGTGTGTTGAACCAGTCTGTATGCAACCTGACAATATGTTCCTTCTAAGGTGAACAGTCCAGCAGGGAAACAGTCACTAAGAACATATTCTGTGGTTTCGGTAGGAAATATTGATGCTTGAAGAAGCTCAGAACAATGTAATGTTTTGCACAGAGATATTGTCGGAACTAATAGAGAACACTGGGAATGCACATTAGTCTGTTTATGTTATTTAGTCTGTAGGGAACACTGGGCAGCCATAAACTCTAATTAGTATTGCGTATCTTAGAGAGAATACTAGTTATCTAGAAAAGGTGCCTATTTGTGTTGGCCTACTTTCCAGAGAATGCCAGAAATCCAGAAGCTATTTATTCATAGCTTTTCACCTTAGAGGGTACACACAAAGGTAGGTTGTTTGGCAAGGTTGCCAATCAGGTTGCTTGTACACTAAACGCAGATAATGAGGCGCTCCCGTAGAGGCTGAATGCCCATACACTAGTACAGCTTGAGTATGAATTTGAATACTACATATTACAGGGCATCACTTTTCCTGTGCTGCCCATCAGTATGTATATGTGATTTATGTCTATGAAATCATGGCAGAAGTTAAAATATTTAATCGTTTCATTTAAAGGAACACTATAGGGTCAGGAACACAAACGTGTATTCCTGACCAGATGTAAAAACACTAGTAGGTCCCCTGCCCCACCCTTGCCCCCCTTAAATCATTAAATATAGTAAAAATTCTCCTTATTTCCGGCGCTGGCTCCACCCCATTCCAACTCCTTGGCTGCCATCATCAGAATGGATGATCTCATCCAATTACAATGCTTCCCATAGGAAAGCATTGGATTGTCTGAGAGAATCAATTCTGAAGATCTCAGCCAAGGAGGCGGTGCGAGTGGGGGGGGGGGCGGGGCAGACGCCAAACGTTTTTTTGGTTACTATAGTGTCCCTTTAAATGTCAAAATCCACCCTTCTATCCCGGGAACTGGGATAAATATTGCCCTTTTCTGCCACTGAACTTTATGAAAGATGAGAAAAGATGAGAAATTGTAACAATGCAATATGTACCCTGGCTTTGCCTGGACTGAAGTGGATTGTATCGTCACTTGCTAAATCTTTAAAGGACCACTATAGTGCCAGGAAAACAAACTCGTTTTCCTGGCACTATAGTGGCATGAGGGTGCCCCCATCCTCAGGGACCCCCTCCCGCCGGGCTGGATGGAGAGGAAGGGGTTAAACTTACCTCTTTCTCCAGCGCCGGGCGGGGAGCTCTCCTCCTCCTCTCCTCCTTCTTCTTCCGTCACAAGCTGAATGCGCATGCGCGGCAAGAGCCGCGCGCGCATTCAGCCAGTCCATAGGAAAGCATTCTCAATGCTTTCCTATAGACGCTGGCGCCTTCTCACTGTGAAAATCACAGTGAGAAGCGCGGAAGCCCTCTAGCGGCTGTCAATGAGACAGCCACTAGAGGCTGGATTAACCCTAATATAAACATAGCAGTTTCTCTGAAACTGCTATGTTTATTTAAAAAAGGGTTAAGCCTAGCTGGACCTGGCACCCAGACCACCTCATTAAGCTGAAGTGGTCTGGGTGCCTATAGTGTTCCTCTAATATACCTTTTAAAAGAAAACAGACCATTACATTAAAAAAAGTTTAACACAATTTCTAGATGATTTTTCAATGTTTTATTCAACAGTGCGATTTCCAAAGAATTGACAGTTCCACTTTAAACACATATGAAACACGTATGCAAAGTCCACATGGGGCCATGGGAATCCCAAAAGAGAAGACAAGGTTCTGAATCAGCGGTTGGAATGAGATAATCTAGAGACCAAGAAATTAATTTAACATAATTTTTTATACCTCAAACTATTCCCAGAACATTCTTTCTTACATCTGAAAATTGCAGGAAAAAGGGTTAATATAGCTGTTTCTGTAATTTTCATAAAATCAGCGGAGACCAATTTGCAACATACAATACTTATGTCAGGTTAAATACATCTTTTATTCATAGGAATTGTATCGCTGTGTAATAGCTGTTATTTACAGAATGAATGTAAGGCTTATTATAAGCACTTGCTTTGTGTGTAAAATGATGTGTATGTAAACTGTGCATAATATATATTGCATGCGTTACTTTAACATTTAGCTCAATGTAGCTCATCTGCCTTGCTTTGCCTCACTCCACATTGTCCTCTCTCCCACTTTTCATAACTGCATCACGACTGTCCCTTTCTCTCATTACTGGGTGTCCACTTCATTCTTTCCATTCTGCGCTTGGGCCACATATGTAAATATAAAACGTGTTCCAAGAATGGCACCAAAATTGGTCAAATTTTCCAAGATCTAATCACCCAATGCATCTAAATATATGTATGAATGAAGTGGTATCTTCTAAGCAAAAAAACAAAAAAAGTGGCCACCAGATGTCCATATATCCTCATGCTCTGTTCATGGAAATCAGTTTAAAAAAAACAAGTAAAAAACACAACTAAAAAAAGCTTAGGGGTGGAGTTGACGCCATATTTTAAATCTCCTGCAGAAATTAAGCTTCTTTCGAAACATTACTAGCCCTTAAGCACATCCAATTGGGACTGAGCCTGTTCTCACCTCTGAGCATCCCCCTGAATCGATCCATGTGGTTCTTTTTCACCCCAGAGATGAAATGGGAGATATGCAGGCCTCAGGCCTACCAACCATCTTCTGGAGGAGCTTCCTTCCCTGACAAGGTGCATGAATTATTCTCCTCATCCACATGCAACCCCAGAGAAGGTACCTCAGCTATGGGCCTACACTCCCCAAAATCCACCAGTTGCTATACCTGCAGATACACTGGGGCACTTTTCCAGCGTCAAGAACAGTCCAAGATGGCTGCCACAGAAGGATCTGAAGCCTTGGCTACACCACTGACCCACATGTTCAGTGATACACCCCAGCAGCCCTTGAGTCAAGGAAATTTGCATTCTGCCTCGGAGCCTCGAATGGAATGGCCGTGGCTACTAAGCAATCCAGAACTTATATCTGGATACACAGACGCACTTGGTGGCGGATATGGCAGCGTACATATGTGCCTCACAGGAGGATATAATGGATCTTTAACAAGGTATGTCTTCCGATAGAGACACAATTCAGATCATTCAAGCTAACCACCAAATATTATCATTGCAAATATCAGCTCTCGAGGATAGCTCTATGAGAAAGCATCTCAAAATTAGAGGCATACCAGACGCCCTTACTATGGATGAGCTTCCACATTACATACGACAAAGTCAGTTTAGGAAGTTTGCTATTGAGGGGACATACCATCTACCTAAATCACCAGGTCTGCTGTGCAGGACGTTATTATCTGTTGTTCATCCACATAAGACAAGAGGCATATCATGTCTGCACTAAAAGACAAAACACCATATTCTTTTGAAGAATCCAACTTCACTTTTTGCCTGTCTGGTTCAGCCTCCTTCTCCAGCCCCCTGCTGAGTCCTGATTGATGTGTAGTGTGGAGCAGGCAGAGCATCTGGCCGTTAAAACTAAAGAGAGTAGGCATAGATCAGAATGTGGAAACTGTTCTAAAATGGTTTGACTGCTGGTACTTATGTAGGAGGGCACCACTGTTCTCCTGGCACCATAATCACCACAACATGCTTGGTACGGTGCTTGGAGTGATCATTTAAAGAGACACTATAGTCACCAGAATCATTCCCTTCAGGCTTTTTGCTGTAAACACTGTCTTTTCAGAGAAAATGCAGTGTTTACATTAAAGCCTAGTGATAACTTCACTGGACACTCCTCAGATAGCTGTTAGAGATCCTTCCTGGGTTATGGCTGCCTAAAATGCATCCAAACATTCAGTGTCTCCTCCCTCTACATGTAGACACTGAACTTTCCTCATAGAGATTCATTGATTCAATGTATATCTATGGGGAGATGCTGATTGGCCAGGGCTGTGTTTGAATTGTGCTGCTTCTGCCTCTTTGTCAGTCTCAGCCAATCTTATGGGGAAGCATTGTGATTTGATCAGGCTACCACTTCTGATGATGGCAGTGGGCAGGTCAAAAGGAAACAGGGACAAAGTAAGCAGCTCCAGACTTAAATACAAGTAAGATTTTACTATATTTAGGGAGGCATGAGTGGACCAGGGTGAATAGATGATGGATTCAACCCTATAGGGTCAGGAATACATGTTTGTGTTCCTGACCCTATAGTGCTCCTTTAACCCAAGATTTAAACTTCCTCCATCATTACTGAATTAGTCAATGTCATTGGGTGGGCTGTACTAACTTCACCTTAAGAAGATATCTGGCCAGGAGTTAAACCCGCTCTATTATAATTGAATTAATTAACGGGACACTTTAGTTTTAGGAATACAAAGAGCACTGCGCATGCATTAGACCTTTCCCGCAAAAAACATTTAATAAAAGCATGAGGTTGTCCAGTGTCATTTCACTGAGTCAAACTCAGTGAAACAGCAGGAAGCGCCTTTAGTGGCTGTCTCATTCTCTAAAACTACAATGTTTAAGATTGCAGGGTTAAGGGGACAGAGACACTGCACCCAGACCATTTCAATGAGATGAAGTGGTCTGGGTGCCTATAATGTCCCTTTAATGTGATTGGCTGGGCTGTATTCATTAGTTTACATTATAACTTTAACCCCTTATATATACTGATAGGTTATATGGCTTCCCTAGTTAACAGGGCATCCTGGGAACCCAGCACAATTCTCTCCCCTATTCTCAAGCCACTCAGTAGCTCAAGGAAGGGAGAAACTGTCTCCAAGTGTACTCCTACTTCTTTTTAAATCCAGACATGATGTGAGAGCCTATTCAGGCTTATTCCTAGCTGTTCGAGCCAAGTGGGAACTGGGATAACCCTCACTGGTCCAAACCACCAGGGGAAGAAGAAACGATGGAGTGACCGCTTATGCCACTGGTGGCAAGCTGTCTTGGGACAGGAAAGTGGCCGTCCTTCCTGCCGTCAGGGCTCACCAGGCCTCTCAAGCCGAGCTCAGGTTTCTCGGGATCCCGACACCAGGGTTGTCGAGAGCAAGCTCCTGTGTGAGCAGGAACAGGTGAGTACTCGATTACTGCCGACATGGAGTAGAGTAAATTGCTGAAAACTCCAATTTATTGGAGTGAAATGAGGAGCTTCCTACATGCATGTCCGCCCAGCATTGCAGTCAGTCCCCGCTGTTTTTATGTATTTTTACACTGTGCCCTTTTGGCATTTAAAATGCTAATAGGATGTTCACATTGATTGATATTATTATTTCAAAACTTCAAGAGGCACTTGAATTGAATATCTCAGTTGTATCCATATTTTTGTCAAACTTGGTGAATTCGGAGGCGGTTCGATTCCAGTTTAGGTTTAGATAAACAGTTAACTTGCTTAAATTGCTTCTTAAACCATTTTAGTTTATTTATTATCATTTCTGAATGGCCCCCAAATTAAATATGCTCTTTCGAGGACAATGGCCACATTTGCATACAAATTGCCTTTGGTAAATTTTCAAATTGGATTTTTGAATCCTGTACGCCTACTAACACAGAGCTTAGTGAATTACCTCCTTTGATTATTATATGTGTCAGACTGTGAAATACTAATCAGCAGCTGAGAACAAGGATACCAGACCTCCGTAACTGGTGAACTCTGCTTATCCAAAACTATGGTTGGCTGTACATCTCAGGCACCTCGAAATGCAGAATTTTTAGACACTTCTACCTTCCCCCCCCAAAGTATAGTTCTCTGTTGCTAGTCCTATGAATTAGAGTCCATCATATTTCACTTCCTCTGCAGAATAAACAAAAAACAATCACCCCAAAAAATTGATTAAGTATATTTAAATATTTTTGAAAAGGAAAAGATGCACAATTACAGGCTGGGTAGCGGGGACCAAGATGTGGCTTGTCATTAATGCAAATTGCATCACTGGTGACATGCACAGCAGCAAAGGACCTTACACCCTAGCGCAAATGTCAACCAGGTTGACACGGTGGCCAGCAGAGCAGCCAACCAGGGCAAAATTATCTTGTAATAAAATAGCACAGCCACTGGCAAAGCACTTCTAGAATTCTCAGAAAATCCAGGACTCTTCCTCCAAATTCGGGACTGTTGGCAATGCCGGGTGTGGGTGCGAGAGGCGGGATGCTGTTATATAATAAACACTATATTAACGTATTTCCATTTACTTTTTTTTGTAAATTTCTTTATTATGTTTTTTTCATGTTGTAAAATGCAATAGGTTGATAAACATTATGAAACTCGCAGGTTTCTTATACTCATATGAGCTTATTATACATTGAGATATGCAAATCTCTGCGTAAGCTTCAATGGTAGGGAGACTCGCAGGTCTCTTAGCAAGGTGTACCTCATGGTCACATCATTCAGATGCGAGATTGTAAGTCCCTAATACCGGTGCCATGGTATTTGGCTTTAGAGGTTTACTTTTCAGTTGACAAAATACAGAAATGTGTTTTAATATGCTCCTACATAAGCCTAGGATTGTATTTCTGAGTTTGCTATCGTCTCAGTCCCGATGTTTGTCAGTGTGGTCAAGTGTCTCGTATCATCAGTCTGCGAGTGGATCAGGTTTAGGGTTTAGGGTCCTTTCGGTCCTTGTTTCTCCAGATTGGGCCATATCGTCTTTGGCCAGGGTCGGGGCATTTGTGTATGTTTTATTGCGTGGTCTGGTGTTTACCTGGTCGTGTGTGTCGCCACCGCCCGAGCGCCGAGGCAGGTCCGGGTAACGGAGGGAAAGAAGAAGAGGAAGAAAGAGGGTGGGGTGTAAGGGGGGGAGGGACTCCAATGGGGGGGGGTTGCTTGTGTAGGTTATAAATCAGTCGTGTGTGTCTCGGTGTCCCCTGTGTCTCCCCTCCCCCCCGTGCTCGTGGACGTGTTAGGTACATGTACTATGGGTATTTCCATTTACAAACATCAATAGTCCTTTAATACGTTCCAATTGATAATGATATACAGATTTTGTTGATATAACAATGACAACATCTAGCATATAGATGCAGAGCTTTTCTATTTACACCCATATTCACACATAACACGGCCCCCCCTGCGTGAGAGTATGAGTGCTTATAATCAGGGTTTTCATCTGTGTTTATTTCTAATAGAACTGATACACCCACATCTTTATATTTCACTCTAGGCCAAAGCTCTGTTTACTTAAGGTTTCAGGCCACCTGTAACAGTAGCCATTGTTGAACTATATTTCTCATTACTCTCAGCCACAAACACTTTAGAGACTATAAAAAAACATGAAAGCTCATATCTAAAAAAAAAACAACAACAACAAAAAACAAACAATTATTCATTTTAGGTCAGGATAGGGAAACATGGATTTGCAGTACTCTTGTTAATTTTCAACACCTTCTAATTTAGTAAATAAATCACAAATAGCAATGAAAGTGGATCATCTTTTTTACGGTAATGTTACAGAATGGCGAATGTTCCCTATAAAATGTGCACTATAGATTCAATGTATATGTACAAAAAATACATTGCTGCAAGAGAACCACAGCTCCTAGAACGATAAGCCACTGCAGCCGGCCAAGGATGGGGTGAATATAATGCAATACTGGGAGGTTACACCCCTGGCAGCTAAAAGTACATTTCCAACCATTTCGTCTGGCTGACCATGATGTGAGCTTGAATGTATTAGTAGATTTATACGCACGATGTGCTGTGACCAAACATCATGTGACTCATGACATAACAGGAGGGAGACAGATCATTCCATACCACCTGCAGCAGACAGAGTAGAATACAATTTGTCTGCATATTTTTGGCATCACCGGAACAACAGAAAACAAGATGGTGATGGTTGCTCGTCTTCCTAGAATGCCGTAATGTGATTTTCAAGAAATTTTTTAAAAATGAACAGTCTGGACTCAAACATTTTAAAGAGACTGTGATGAAGGTATCTCTTCATCATCAGATTACGATGCAGACAGTATGTGCTTCACAGAGGGATTTCCTGTTCTGAATTAGAATGATGGATAGAATGGTTTAACCTGTGAAGGACAGTGACAATTGTACAAGTTCTAACCAAAACAAAATCTAGAATTTGAGCTATATGTCTGTTCAACCATAATGTACCTCTTTCATATTAAGTGCA